ACGAAAACACACACCAAAACGACCCACACTGATACGAAAACACACACCAAAACGACCCACACTGATACGAAAACACATACCAAAACGACCCACACTGATACGAAAACACACACTAAAACGACCCACACTGATACGAAAACACACACTAAAACGACCCACACTGATACGAAAACACACACTAAAACAAAATACACTGATACAATTACTCACACTAAACCAAAACCCACAGAAATAACACACAGTAAAACAAAGACAAAGACAGGAGAAGGTGATGATGAAGAAGATGATAAACACCCATCAACTGAAACAAAGACAGCGGGCGGAGAGAATGAAGAAGACGTAGAAGATGAATACCCATCTACTAAAACAAAGACAAAGGACGGAGAGGATAAAGAAGATGAACAAACAAAAACAAAGGAAAAAGAAGATGAACCAACAAAGACAAAGGAAAAAGAAGAAGAACCAACAAAGGAAAAAGAAGATGGGCCAACAAAAACAAAGGAAAAAGAAGATGAGTCAACAAAAACGAAGGAAAAAGAAGATAAACCAACAAAAACAAAGGAAAAAGAAGACGAACCAACAAAAACAAAGGAAAAAGAAGACAAACCAACAAAAACAAAGGAAAAAGAAGATGAGCCAACAAAAACAAAGGAAAAAGCTCCACCAATTAAAACAACGATCGCAAAAGATGACCCTCCATCGCCTAAGAAAACGGACAAAAAAGATGACCCTCCAACACCAAAGAAAACGGACAAAAAAGATGACCCTCCAGCACCAAAGAAAACGGACAAAAAAGATGACCCCCCATCACCAACCAAGAAAAATTCAAAGACATGATTAACCAAATCAATATTGAATTTAAATCCTGGTAATTCTTTGCTAGATACTACTAAACAAAAACTAATGTTTGGTTTATATAATTCATTTTATTTTCTTGTGATTATTATTTTTGTTTAATTAGTGAAAAAGCTGGCTAATTTTTGTTTCAAGTATTTAATTATGTTTGCACATTTTACTTTAATGCATCATTACTTGAAAAAAAATGAGCATACTAGAATACTGTTATTTGGATGTTTTTTCTATAATTAGTCGATTAATATAAAATAATAAAGTCTTTTAACAAATCTCGTATTAATATAAATTTGCAAGGAAATGGTACCCTTAATTAAATTTACTAACGATGTCAGATCTTACTAACATTAATACGAACAAAATAGTAAAATAAATGCTTAAATTTAGTTGACGTTCAATAATTAGAAATAGAATTTCTGGATATAATTTTGTGAGTCAAATATCTTAAGCAAATTTTGTTTTACAGTAACGAAAAACATGGAGGCAAAAATTTAATGAGAATTTAAGGCACATAGAGCGTTCATATAAATAAATTGGCGAAAGAATATCATATAGATTAGCTCTTAATAAAGAACAAAAATTATTTATATTAAGTAGAATATCAAGTTTAATGATTTATCAAATTTATTTTGGCTACGAAGGTTATTGATAAATTCACGAATAGAAAACCCCGTGTAACTATAAAAGGTGAATAGCAATCATAAGTAATTTGGTTAGGCACGTCAAAGAGAAGATTTTGGATTTAGATTAAATTAAATTTAAAGTAAGAAACTTGTAATTTTAGAGTTAAGAATCAATATAACTGTTAACTACTGTAAATAAGTACTTTTATTTTGTCCCGTATAAAGACACGTGATTTCAAAGAACGCGGTAGAAGTATTTAGAGGATAGTCTAAAGAAAAAAAATAAATGTAGCAAGTGTAAAAGATATTATTCTCGCTCTAGATCAATTTGACATATCAAACATAAAATATATATTTATTAGTCACTATGGGATATAGCCTTCTAACTGGTTTAGCGACAGTATATCGATATCCTATCCTATACATTGTTATCGTCACCGGCGAGTCTGTCGCTAAAACGGCTCACTCTTCGCGTGACAATAATCCGAACGCTTGGATTTCGGCACTAAATAAGGTAAGGCTTTAACTCCGAGGCGGATTACGACTTGACCGACTTTCGCACTTGCTAATCTCTTCTTGACTGTCGCTCTCTCTCTAGGCGCATCTCAAGATTACAAGTGTCACTCTTCACGGTGTACAAGGTAACGTCGCGTCTCTTCCTAAAGACGTTTACTTAATATAGTGGCGGGACTTAATTTATGCTTTAAAGAATGTATCTCGTTTATTGTGCGAAGCGAAATAGAATTTATTTAATAAAGCGCGAGTGTGCAAAAACAAACAAGTGTTCTGAAAACGAAACTCTAAAATCGCGAAATCCGAACTCCCTCTCCCAGCTGCCTAAACTATTCTATTTATACGCCTTGTTGACGCGTTCAACTCATTACATGCTATTACCAATTATTACATCATCCTTCCATCAATGTTTTTATTATTACGCGTTGCGACACAATATCGCGTTACCATCCCTATTGTTCCCACAACAACATAAAGAATGTGCCACCTTCATGCTCTACTTCTTATCTATATTTACCTATCAAACGTATTTCATTCAACTAGATGTGTTGTGTTCGTAACTGTCTCTAATTTTCTTTAATAGTGCGGGATTTACGTAGCCCATTATTAATGTAGAGTTTTAAACCATGGTAATGTTATTCTCAAACTTCAAAGGTGTGAGTTTTACACCACCATATTCCACTTAAATTTAACGGTGTGGGGTTTACACAGCTCGTTTTCCATAATCATCATTCAAACGGTGTGGGGTTTACGCAGCTCGTTTCCGATAACCCTAATTCAAACAGTGTGGGTTTACACAGCTCTTCTTAACAACTATCTTACCACCCAAATTTAAACGGTGTGGAGTTTACACAGCTCATTTTCAACAGTATAATAGAGCAACGTATAATGTTGAGTGGGAGGGATGGAGGGACCTCGAATAAGCCGGAAAAATACTCTCACATCATTCTAAATATGGTTTACTAGCACATACTGTACATCATTGACTGTGCTACATAATCTCTCGCAATAATCTAGCTCCCGTGACTTCATCTCGATCGCTAATAAAGCTGTAGCAGCTACCGGATGATTTGTACGCCTGTAATACAGAGAACACCCATAATGTTATATAAAATTGGTAACATTCTTTGCTGGTCAGAGCTAGTACGACTCCCGGTTAGCGTGTATTACAAATTTTAATATTACACAGTTTGGAGGGTAACAAAGATTGTCGAACAACTATTTCTTAAAAATAAATGCTCGGTAATCATTATAATAAGTAACTAGATTATTTATATTATCCCCATTTCTTTTCTAATTTTAATAAATGATCTTCAACTTGAGAGTTAATATACGTTTTAATTCTTTATTCTTTATTTCGACAACTTTTGCTCTTTTATACTGCGAACAAGGGTCGATTAACAAAAAATGTACTCGACACGAAATCTACTACGCTGGCGGAATATTTGGTGCACGGGACAGGGACAGAATGAATAACCCATTTTCGGATTTACACAAATACATAATCAATACTGTAATAGAAACGTATAGATCAGCACTCAACAAATATTACTAAAAAAGGAAATATTAAAAATTAAGAAGTTATATTTCCTAAATTTTACAAGTTTTTTTGTTATTGCGAGTCATGCAATTAATTTCTTCGGAGTTGGCGACGGCTCACCGGTTAGACTATTATAGCCCCAAGAATTACAATTATAGTAATTAATTACATAAAAGCCACAATATTTATATTTATTTACAATCGCGTTATCGTACACTAATTTGCACACTTTCTATGTAAGTAAATCGAATATTTTCTTTGTAGCCACCCAACCTGATCTATCAAGAGATGGTGAAAATGTATATAACCACAGTATCGTCCTTTACTCAAATCTTAACCGGGATTCAATATGCGATCGTATATAGGCTTGGTTCCTTTATTGTTCCTTTATATTTCGAAAACTTTTGGTCAAACCCCGGATCCAAGAGTTGGTCAAACAGACAATTTAATTGGCTCGATTATCTACTTCGTCGGAGGAAATAATGGCAAATCGAATACAAACGATGTTGTCTATCTAAACCTAACCGAGTCATTCTCGACCGATAGTCCACAATGGGATTCTATGGAGGGAGGAAATGCCCCAGTTGCCCCTTCCTTTTCTACTTCAGTTATTAGCCCTTTTGATGGCTCAACTCTTTATTTAATTGGTGGTTTTACGACAAATCCAACTTCGGGTCAGCCAAATTTTTCTAATCCAATATATACATGTGATACCATTAAAGAAACATGGAATACACTTAGTGTGAGTGGGAATCTACCAACCCAGCAACAAGAAAATAATGCCGTTGTAGATGGTTCGGGGAAAGCCTATATTTTTGGTGGAGCTAAGGTTACCAATTTTGCCGCTTTAAGGCGAAGATTTCTGCTTCGAGCAAGGGACGTAGATCCTTCTGATGGATATGTGATTACCGATACTTCGAATGTCGAGTTTTCTAATAGTATGAACGTCCTAAATATCGATACAAATAGCTGGGTGACCATTCCGACAGTTTCCAATACCCCACCTCCACGAATAGATTATACTGCCACACTTTTAGATAATGGTAATATTGTTTACATTGGAGGAAGAGAATATTCTAATAATTCCCTCGGTATAGTTGATTCAAATAAGGTAATACTTAATGTGAAATTAATATACAATGCACGGTATATTATCTAATGCAATAATGTGTTCTTTAATCTTAATCATAATTAGATAAACATTTTTGATACAAAAAGTTTAGGTTGGTCTACAATGGTAAGCATATTAAATGTAATGCATTAATAAATGATTGATTTCTTATTAACACGCATTAAATAATAGGTGGCTACTGGTGTTGGTTTGCAAAAACGCCAGCTTAATACTATACAATCGCGTCTGCATCATACTGCCGTACTCAGTGAGTATATTTATCATTCAGAAAAATTATTTTTGAAACTAATTGTTAAAATTTCAACTTTTAATTTCAAAAGCAAAAAAGGGTCAAATTATCGTTTACGGAGGTGAAGATTTAAATTCCAAAATAGTCGAACCTGGCCTTGTGGCTTTAGACACCACCAAAAAAATTTTTAATTGGTATATTCCACCTTCTTCCGCTGGTCCATATAATGCACCACCTTTATCAAAGCATTCAGCTACTTTATATGGAGATACCATGATTGTTACTTTTGGTAAAAATATTATGTAAAATAAAAAATCATGTTTTTTATTTATTATAATTATTAAATCACTGTATTATTCAATTAGGATATGTCACGAATACAGGAGGTGTTAAATCCAATTTTAACAAGAATATTTATATTTTGAATGCTACGAGCTTCTCATGGGTCCGTCCATTTGGAGCTCCACCATCATCGCCACCACCGACCACCACCATCGCCTAAGAAAACAGACAAAAGGGATGACCACCCATCACCAACTACGAAAAATTAAGTGACATGTTAACCTGAAGCAGCGTAAAGGCAGGAACAACTGTGACAGAATTAATAGGAATTAAAATTCTGATAGTTCTTTACCAGATACTACCAAACAAAATTAATGTTTGGTTTATATTATTCATTATATTTTCTTATGATTATTTTTATTGAAATTTTTGTTTAATTAGCAAAAAATGTTGCTAATTTTTGTTTTGACTATTTAATCTTGTTTGCACATTTTACTTTAATGCACCATTGCTTGAAAAAAAATGAGCATACTAGAATAATTGTTATTTGGATGTTTTTCTATAATTAGTCGATAAGTATAAATAATAAAAGGCCATTCATCAAATATTGTATTAATATAAGTTTGCAAGGGAAATGGTACCCTTGATTAAATTTACTAATGATTC